TGGATGGCTGAGCATCGACGTCAGGAAAAAGAGCTACAGGCTGAGCGCCAGCGCATTAAGCAGCTAGGTAAGCAGCAAGTTCAAGAAAGAGCTGCAAGGAAATCCGACAAGCGACGAGGCAAACCCGATGCGATGACACAGCGGGAGCTAGAGGAAATGAAGCAGCGGGAGCAGGAGGCATTGGACCGCAAGTGGGCCCGCGAGTATGAGGAGCGCATGCGGGACTACAAGCCAGATGTCAAGCTAGAGTATGTTGACGAGACGGGCCGTCAATTAACGACCAAAGAGGCTTATAAGCAGATGTCCCATGCATTTCATGGGCATTATAGTGGTAAGAACAAAATCGACAAGATTATCAAGAAGCGTCAGCGTGAACAGCGCCAGCAGCAGCAAGCGTCGTCAGCAAATACCCATGAGCGTGGAGCAGCTATGGAGAACGCTCGCCGTAAGGTTGGCTCAGCAGGTTTTGTATTTTCGGATGATGCATAAGAAAAATTTGACGGAGTTTAAAAATAGAACTAAAGATATTGCTGCAAATTTGACAATTAGCAAACATTGGAAAAACTGTTGTGGAGGATTGACATTTCTGGTTTTTTTTTTGTAAATACATCTAGGGAAAAATGACAACAGACATATCCTGAATCTTTTCATTGTTATTCGCTTTTTTATCTTTATAATGATTATTACTATTTTGCGGCTGTCGACAGCATTTATTATATCTCTGGTGATTGCTAGTGGACATGCTCTTGTGCCTCGAGCGACTGAGGCGCAGCTAAAATCAGTAAAGGGCGGTGTGTTGGTCAAAGATGGTATACAGACATCGTGCAACTTGGCGGTTATTGACAGCAAGGCATCTATAGTTGGGGCGGACTGTTTGAATTTTATGAGCGATGGTTCGCTGAATACTACTACAGAATATACAGTATATCTTGATGACGGTGCTGATGGCAAGGCTGCCAAATATACGGTAGATTCCGTCACTGTGCATCCAGATTATAATGTAACCTATCAGCTCAATAACCTTGCTACGTTGCAGTACAATGCTGATGGCGAAATAACTTTTCAAAATGCAATTGCTCCTATAAAGGACTTTGAAAATTGGGATGAGCTGCTGTACATAAGATACACTCTCAAAGATGTTGAGACAATGGAGTGGGAGCCGCGCTCATATACTACCGGATGGACTGACTTTGAGTACAAGTGTGACAGATTATCAGCCGTTCATGCTGTCAATGTTGATGATATGATGTGTGCAGATAAGCTGAGTCGTGATGTGCCAACTTTTTTGAACCCGTGTCCTATGCCGTATGGGATTATTCTAGGGGTCTACCGAAACAACGTGTCCGTGTCTTCTCTGTACATGAATTCAGCCATTAAAGGTGGCAGCAGCTTATGTAGCTATACTGAAGGATATACATACTTCACTGCACTTGCTCGCTATATTGGCTATTTTCAAAAGGTTATCGGACGGAGTATCAGCGTTGACGCAGAGAGCTTTAGTATTAATCTCACGGCTATTGCATTGGTCGATTCCTTTTCCATGTACGAATCCAATTTTACCATGGCGGATAAAAATATCACCATGCTGCATGGTGATTTTTACAAAGACCAAACTGAAGATGTTGAGCCGTCGTCTCTTTCTGAAAGCAAGCCGACCAGCACCCCTACAGGATCAAGCGATGATCCAGCTGTGGACGGGATTGACACGATGGAAGATTCCTCAAATTCGTCCAACCGCAACAGTATTATCATTGGAGTGTGCGTTTCAGTTGGCAGCCTGCTGATCATTTGTGCACTGATTTACTATGCGTACTGGCAACGGCGGCGTGGGAGGAATTTCTTTGGCAGGCTTAGACGCACTGCCGATCAAGAGATGCTGGAGGCTGAGTTTGGCGGTCTGTCAGTTGGTCCTTTACATTCGAATGCAGACAACGAAATGCCTCCTATTTATGACGATCCTGTAGAACAAAACATCAATGCATCCTCGGCCGACTCAAACACATCAAAGCCTGACAAAAAGACCGAAGAGAAGAAAGGCTAACCAAATAAAATAAATATGTCGTCACATAGCAACACGTGTACATTGTTTGTACAGAAAATTACGTTACTTCTTAGAAGCTTTTATTAACAAAAAAAACCTGTATGCTGTCGATCACCTATTTCTTTAAAGGGTATGATGGCCTTTCCTTTAGCTTAGAGACATGGCGCAAGATTGCAACATCCCATGTATAAAATAAAGTGCTTTTCAAAAGCATTCAGCTTGTTTTCTACAACTTTATCCACCCGTATACCGCTTCCTCCTCCTCCCTCGTTTAATCCAACCTTTATTCCTTTAGCAACCATGAAGCTTTCTCTTATTTCCACCGGAATTTTGGCGTCAGTCTCTGCTGTAAGCGCCGGCCTCATCAACCTTGGATCTGGCGACTGCTCCTTCAGCCTTTCCACCAAGATTGCCAACCTCGTCCACCTTGGCCATGCCGAAGGCAACGCTGGCGTGTGTTCAGTTGGCCAAGAGGGTGTTGGAATTATTGCAGGTATCTTCAGCTTTTCTACCAAGACTACCGACATCCTTAAAGTCGTGAACTTGTACCAGCAAACTGCAAGCTACGCTGGTGAATTTGACCAGCTTATGCCCGTATTGCAAAAGTGCGCTGAAACTGCCAGTGGCACTCTGGTCGGCCTGGACGGATTCTGTGAGTCGTGGACCAAGGCAGCTGCAAACAAGGACTTTATTACTTCGCAGCTCAAGGTTGCCGAAGGCAAGTACCAGGATCCAGTATCGGCAATTGTTAGCAAGCTTGAGATTGTGCATCCTATTACCCAAGCCATCCTTTATGATACAGCTATTGTTGATGGTTTGTCCAACGTTCCGGGCGTGCTAGATTCCATTATTAGCGCGACCAACCTCAAGTTTACCAAGGATGTTTTGGGAACTTCGGGCAACACGCTGCTAATCAACGGGCTCAAGATTGACGAACTCGAATGGGTCAAGACCCTCCTTGACGTCCGCCAGGGCCTCGGCATTGCCAAGGATGTGGGCACTATCAACATTTACCGCAACCTGCTGAACAACGGCCTTATTAACCTGGGTCCGGTCCTTGACATTGTTGACGCTGTTGGCAGTCTGGTGACCCTCAACTGCAGCCCACTTATTGACCTCTAAATAGTATATTGGAAAACTAATAATGTTGGAATAGATGCGTGCAGTTTGTTTTTGATGGACTCTATAAACTGTGAACTGTTTTGATGAATAGCACATTTAAATTTCACTAAATGACAATGAAGTGGAACAGATTCTGCAGCAACTAAGTTTATTTCCAGTGGATCAGGTATCAATAGCTTGTAAACACTCAATTCGTTCAGGTTGGGTGCATGTTGCAAAATATGGACTATTTGGCTTATACAAACATCTTGTCTAAGTTTCAATATGGCTATCTTTTGAATGAAGCCGCTTTTTGCTATAACATTAAAGAGTGACAAGTCAACACACATATTTAGAAGCGCTGTTGTAGATTTCCAGCTTAATATTTTAAGTGTGCTGGTCTGTAAGTCATATTCATTCCAATCAATATTTTCATTATCATCCTGAGAAGGAAGCAATGAAAATTTAATATAAAGCAGCTCTTTTACTTTGAGTTTGCAAATTTGGCCAATATTTAGTTCAGAACAAGTTATTTCGAATTTCTTGAGTTTGAAGAGCGTCTGCGGTGATTCCAATGGGTAGTAAGAAGAAGAATTGAGCTTAAAGGTAGCAATATTAGGACATATGATCTTAAAATTGTGTTCATTTGTATTTTGCTTTTGAAAATATAGCTGGAGGTGCTTTAAATTGTCAAGTCTTATTTTACTTGTCAGTTGATTGCCATTCATAGAGTATAGCTTGAATGTCCGCGGAATAAATTTGAGAGCTAGCGATTGTAAGCAAGATGGATTATAAATACAAAAATAATCATGATCATTGTTGTCATAGTCAAAATTTATATCCAAAACAGATAGTTGGAAGGGCACAATCGGACCTTGAATAAGCGATAATGGTTGAGCAGATAGGTATTTCAGCTGGTTCGAGTACATATTAAACAGGTTTTTAGTAAACAGTTGGTGCACTTCGTCTCCAGAGGTTGAATATAGGTATAATGTCTGTACGTTTGGTAGCAACTTACAAAACTGTTGTGCAAACTCTTCCATAAACTGTTGCTCATGGTCTTCAATTTCACCCATTCCATCCGATATATATACGCGCAGTGAGGTTATGTTGTCCCATAAAATAGATCTACTATGTAAAATCTCCTGTGCCTCGTTTATAAAGTAAATCATACCAACATCATTTTCAAGGTTCAGATTCAGCTCTCGTGCATGCTGAAAATTTAGGTTTTGTATGCACAAATCCAGGTTGTGTGATAAAGTGAACTTGAGTTCTTGTTCTGTAAAGTCATATTCATTATCATTGGCAAAGCATTCAAACATCGCGATCAGATCGCTAGTGGATGCAATGTGTAGGCTCGAATAAACTAGTGGAACTCCAACTTTCCTCCAGCTGCTGCAGATAGCCAGCATTTTAAGTAAGCTCTTCCATCTTCCTAAAATAAAAGTAAAGTCACTGATTACGCGCTTGAATATAAGCCTGATAACTAGTTCAGGCAGCTTGTCTATGCACATAAATATTTAAATATAAAAAAATTACGAAAGAAAAAATGTAACGTAGCTTCCAAGTCTTATTGCGTTTAAAAGAACGTCGTTTTCTTTTGTGAAGAGCGATAAAGGCCTAATTAAATCTAGCTGAATAAGGTTTATTTGGTATCTTCCCCCACCCAGTTATATGGATTAAAACAAGCAAACTCATGCAATCGGAAAATCCTTTCTTTGATTTATCTTCATTTTTCTGGAACTACCATTGCCCTTCATAGGCTGTAGATGCCAATGACATCATAGCAGGAGACCGTTAACGCTACTTTGTAAATCAAATCATAATTATTATTTTAAATAATAATAATAAAAAAAAGCGTCAGCTGCAGGATTTGAACCTACGCGGGATGATCCCAACAGATTTCAAGTCTGTCGCCTTAACCACTCGGCCAAACTGACAAGCCATATTGTGATCTAATTCACTCACACTTCTGTTCAGTAAAGAATATTCTATGGTTTTCACAGAATAAAAATCCCTGAAAACGCTGCATAGCTAACCAGGAGATTAGCTCAATTAGTAATTATATGTCTAAGTAATATGCAATCATTAAAGGCCACTGCACTTTTGACGGCATTTGCAAGGTCCAGGCAGGTTTAGTGCATCTTGAATACTGGAATGGGCAGGGAGCAATGCTTCTTTTAGATCAGGAGAAAGACAACTTTTAATAGAGCTACAAAACCCTTTTCGAAGTGTTGAAAAGCTATAATGCTTTGATGTTGGTTCATTTGCGATATCCAGGCTTTATACGCTAAATTCAGCTCCTGTGTCGTTATCAATGGCCAGCTAACAAAATTATTTCCTATCTGCCTAATTGTCCAGAAAGACGATTCACATAATTATGTTCTGTTTGTGGTAGCAGAAGAATTGCTTAGTTGTGCAGTTTGTAGCATATTCACACAGGAAGTATCTATTCCATTGTCTATCCAGAATTACATTCATATGTTGTATATAGATGACATAGCTACCTTCGTTCAATCATTAAGATATTGTATGAGCCACTACCATTCCGGTACAAAGACACATCAGAATGGATTTCACTAGTAGTGGATGAATGACACCACATTACTATTATTTATCAACATGGATACTTACCATGTAACCTTCAAAAGCCACTTTAATAAGGCTTGGTAAGCCAGTTCTCCATAAAACCTGTGTGATGCCTTGTGAGTGAGATAGAGAAAGTTAGCACATCTATGCACCAGCTGTTTGTTCTGCAATATTTTATAGCAATATAGGCAGATGACGGACATGCCAAGCTAGAAAAGTATAACAATTAGGGTAAAGTAGGAAAGAAAAACAGCAAATACTAAAACAGGTAGAAACCTCTGTCTTCCTTCAGCATCTTGTCAGGCAGTTTTTACCAGTTGCTGCTTGTAATCCGAGAAAAAGTAAAGAATTCTATCTATTCATGTTTGACTATTATTGCATGATGGCTAATTCGATTAGAAACAATAGATGTTTTTTTTTCGTTAATTTACGAGATAAAGCTACCGGAAAACTATAGCGAGATACTAACCAGGTTGGAAAGTCCACAGATTGCCAATACGACAAAAAAAAATTCATAGACAATTGGCAATTCCTGATATAGCTTAGGTGGGATACCATCTGGGCACATAGCGCTTACTTTTCCTTGGCTCCGTTTTATTTTTATCTATATTACCATTTACAATACTTTTAAAAACTCTATCTCTGTGCAGCAACTCATCTGCAACAAAGGGATAATACGAATTGGCTGCTTGATGTCATGAAGCTGAAGTTCAGCTGGGAATTTGTTGCCTTCCAGGATATGTAAAAATCCCAGCCAATTTCCATTATGGTGCCCTTTGCCTTTGTTGAATGGCTTAGGGTGACAACATGATGGGCACTTCACGCATGCGGCAGGGCTCGATAGTGGCAGGTGGAGCAACAATACAGACTGGGTATATAGTGCCTTTGTCGATGGCCCATCTCATCTGCTTGTCTCTAAATACAAGAGTTTTGGTTAAAAGAAAATCCAGCTGCTTCCTTTTTTTTTTTTGGCCACAAAGTAGATGCCACAACCATTCTCGTTATACAAGAAAGTATCAATTGGATAGGGGTATGTTGGAAATCCAGATTGGGTGGCTGGTACATGAGCTTCATCAGCTCTTGGTAGAGCTTACAGTCCCATTTTAAGTTAAAGCACTTGAAGCGAAGCGCCACGGTAGGCATGAAATTCGCAGCGAGGCGTGAAAACGGAACTTTTATATATGAAATATGCATGACGACGAGCTGAACGGGACATGCCTGCTTGTTGCTTAACTTCTAGGTCGAAGGGTTGCTTCAGCGTCGCTATTGGCGAAGAGGGCGCAGGCGACAATGGTATGGGCGCTAGGTCTTTTTTTATAGCTTTTTTCGCGTGAGGGTTCATGGTCTTTATATTTGTTGTATTTATAGCCTAGAATCAAGAAAGCAGAAGGCACAATAAAACACGGCAGGTAAACAGAAAAAATTCTTTTCTCTCTTTCGGCGATTGATCTTAATAAAGCCCAATAACTTCAAATAGAATTGGAAATTTATATATATATAAACACAGAAGAAATATTTAACGTAAATTGTACTTGCGAATAGTAGAATAGTCTCTAGCAACTTTTACAGCACCAAAGATAGCAATGATGATCCAAACAAGCATCAGAGCAATCATAGTAGGAATATCGCCTTTAAGGTTGCTAATATAGCTATCACACAGTTTGTCAATAAGGCCGCCGGTATAGCCTTGGAACTCCTGAGCATTCTCGACTTCGTCGCGATATAGCTCTGATGTGGGGATTTCCATACTATCGCTGTCCGAGCTCCAGTCGATTTCGCTCAAGCTGTACAG